ACAAATTCAGTGCCAATTCTTTATTCTTTTCCGAGATCCGTGCTTCTTTTGGTTTAACATTTTCTTAATTGAGAATTAAGATTTGACATATGACACCCACTTTTGACGTTTTAAAAAAAAATTGGTTTAAAAATTCACCGTTAGTGGCGCCACATGAGGAACGATTATAAATTGTTCAAAAACATATTTTTAGGGCTTATGGAAAGGCCGTATACGCTAGTATGAATGGAGTCGGCGATGGATAAAATACCAGGAATATGGAAAAAATCTGTCAAAAAATTTTTGACATTTGACATTTTTTTAATTTAAACTCTCATAACTCCGAAATTTTTATAGACAAAATTTTTCCATGTTCCTGGTATCTTACATGACATTTTTTTCTCTACTCTGTATAGTCAAAAAAAAAAGAAAATCGTACTTATCAACATCTTCTTCTGTTATTTCTGTTATGGGTTTAAGCCACCCAAGACCAGCATTGTTGACCAAAAGGTCAATTGGGCCAATTTTAGTCAAAGCTAAATTTGTCGCATTCCAGTCACTCAAATCCACACAAATTGTCTCAATTAGGGGATTTTCCTGTTTTAGGGTTTGTAACTGGGATTGGGTGCGCCCAATTGCCACTACGAGGGCCCCACATTTGGCCAATTGCAGAACAATTTCGCGCCCGATTCCTGTAAAAATCATAATTTTTATAAAAAAGAACAAACAACAAAAACTTAAAAAAAAAGAAATCTGTATTTTAACATGTAGAGAATATCTAAGAAAATACCTAAAAAATAAAGAAATTGTTTACATATCGACTAAATAAAGATTTGTCAACAAGAAATTACCACCTAGGATTTGAATTTTTAGGAAAATTACGTTTTTCATGTTGTTTGTAACTAGAATTTTCAGAAGTAATTTTGAATGCCTAGTGTTGGTTACCCCTTGTTGTTGACGGTTGACGTTTTCTGTCAACCTGCTGTCAACTATTCTATACAAACTGACAGGTGACTTAACCTAAATTTTTGACACTAGTTACGATATCTTTTGTTTGTCACTAAAAACCAACCTAACCAAGTCTATGGCAACCTATTCACGAATATCCCTAAATCCTAGGGAGTAATTTATTGTTGATACGATAATAGAACTGAAAAAATAAAGTTAAAAATGTTTTAGTTTCATAATTACCAAATCATAAACACCAAATTGAAACTTTCTTGGAGAAAATCAATATTAGTATATTATTTAACGAGTAGACATTCAAGAGGATAAAGTTTATACACGAGCCAAAGACGAGTGTATAAATCATCCAAGTGAATTATAATCATTATGAGCGAGTCAAATACAATGTTTTACCTACGATCTTTTGTAATAAAATATTTTCTACTTTATTCTAACTTATATCTATGATAATGAGAGATCTCGGATTTATGATAAGTCGTAGATTTTTTATTTGCTTTTCTTTTGGTAAACAGAGTATAATATAAAACTAAATTTTTTGATAAATTACCCAAAAATGGGACTTTTGAGGCAGCAGCCAACCATTTCGTAAACTTTACAGATTATTTCGAAAAAACTACATTTATTTTTCTACTACACCTTGTATTAAGAAAATAAAAACGAGCAGTTTATTTTTAACATAAATTGTAAAACTCTAACTCAAGCAAAAATACACAATTACAGAAATAAAAAGTAGAAAAAAAGAGAGAAAAATCAAAATATCTAAGAGCGAGAGAGAAACAAAGCCGGGTTAAGTAATATTATTGACGTGAAATTAAAATTTTTCAATTAAGACATTAAAATTAAGATAGAAACAAAAAATTCTATTTTGATTTTGAAATACAGAAAGAACAGAATTATAGTAACTGAAAATAGGGTAAGTCCGGGAGAAATGGACCTCATTTTCAAAAACCTGCTGTAAAATTATGATTTTTATTTTAATTCAAGCCACGAATGCTTTTTCTCATCAGAACTAACAAAATAAAAAACACATTTTTAGACATTTTTTTTGAGTAATGTATGTGTTTGATTTTTTAGGTTAGTCAGACCTTGCTCACAAAAATAGTAAGTTTTAACCAATTTTGTAAGAAGATTTAATTTAGTTTCATAATACGAATCATAAAACTTTGTCTTAAATTTAAACACAAAATTGAAACTTTCTTGGAGAAAATCGATAATAGTATATTATTTAACGAGTACACATTCAAGGGGATAAAGTTTATACACGAGCCAGAAACGAGTGAATTATAATCATTATGAACGAGTCAAATACGATGTTTTACCTACGATTTTTTTTAATAAAATACTTTCTACTTACTACTATTCTAACTTTTATCTATGATAATGAGAGATCTGTGATTTATGTTAAGTCGTAAATTTTTTATTTGCTTTTCTTTTGAGAATATAAAACTAAATTTTTTGAAAAATTACCAAAAAAGGGACTTTTGAGGCAGCAGCCAACCATTTCGTAAACTTTACAAATTATTTCGGAAAAACTACTCTATTTTTCTACTACACCTTGTATTAAGAAAATAAAATCGAGCAGTTTATTTTTAACATAAATTGTAAAACTCTAACTTAAGCAAAAATACACAATTACAGAAATAAAATGTAGAAAAAAAGTCGGGTTAAGTAATATTATTGACGTGAAATCAAAATTTTTCAATTAAGACATTAGAATTAAGATAGAAAACAAAAAATTCTATTTTGATTTTGAAATACAGAAAGAATAGAATTACAGTAACTGAAAATAGGGTAAGTCCGGGAGAAATGGACCTCATATTCAAAAACCTGCTATAAAATTATGATTTTTGTTTCAATTCAACAAAATAAAAACACATTCTGTTGCAAATACAATAAAAATAATGTGTATATCACTCCCACTGGTCCATCTCTCCCAGATTTACCCTACAAAAATTAAAAAAAAAATCAATAAAGAAGAAAACCGAGCTGACGTAAAATTAGAATATTTCAAGTGAAATTATTTGAAGGAAAACATAATTAATTATCTTGAGCAACAAAATAAAATAGTATATTCTTTTATTTTTATTTGTCTAGGATTAAAAGTGAATTG